ACTCAACGCCTGCGTATAAGAACCAAGCCCAGCTGCAGCTGCGAAGCCGGAGGTTTGCAGCGCCGCTCCACAGAAGGCGGCGACGACATGTTTACAAGAAAGAAGCAGGGGTGGAAGACAGACACAGTGAACGAGAACAATTTACTGAAACTGAAACCAGAGAGTTAACTTAACCAAGGAGAAACACGGTCAGCAAAGGTGAGAAGCAAAACATGAGGGGTGAGCGTAGACACGGTAGAAGCTGCAAGTCAGGTGTGCACTGTGTCGTCGTCGTCCGCCTTCGCTGCACTGTTCTACTCAAAAGCAACAAGCTAGGTAAACCAACACAAACACAGAACATCAACAAACCTTTTTCGAAAAGGCAACGTACACCTATGCTACAACAAAAGCAATTGACACGGAGGACACGAAGAGGTTTTTCAAGGACAGACGGAAAGTCAACGACAAGTAACCTAGCCAGCAATCAAGGTTGACGAGCTACAGTCGTCGTAGAAGAAAAACTATCAGGGTTGGTAGTAAGGGAAGCAATAGAATAACACAAGCAGTTGCAAACTGAATTCGCTGTAGAACATGGACCCAAAGAGGACTGCCATGAGAAAGTGGTGCGCGGTTGCAAGTCAACTCGTTAGTGGACGAGAAGCCAGTTTTGCAACGTGTTGCTTGATCTTTTGCAGGATCACTTTAGTCGAATGGTACATGCGCAACCATCGCCGACGAGGCTGTGATGGCCGGCCCACCACATCCAGCCTAGCAATGCAAGCAGGCAACAAGCACACACATTCGACCGACAGACTTCAGGCCGACACGCTGCACTCACCCGAGGCATGGCCTTCCTGGCCATGACAAGGTGGTGTGTGGCTGCTAGTCAACTCGTAAGTGAACAAGCAAGGTTCGCAATGTGCTGCTCGACAGTTTGGAGGATCAGTCTAGTCGAATGGTACATATGCAACCTTGGCCGACGAGGCTGTCGTGGCCGGCCTACCAAATCCGGCAAAGCAAGTCAAGCAGACAACAAGCACACACATTGGACCCGCAGAATTCCAGACCGATACACCATACTCACTTGGGGCATAGCCTTGGTGTCTGCGTTCGTAAGTGCTAACACTAACCGAATAAACCCAGTGTTTGTAGTCCACCTCTTCACTTGTGTCTTTGCATGCCAAGCACTGCGAGCCCTAGCAAAACGTCGGTGTCCTACTGGTTGGATCAAGAAAGCCCGCGTCGCAGGCAGAACTCGCTTGAAAGCGTGGCGGCGACAGACACAGCCTCTGTATAGGACGCAAGTGTTGTTGGCAGTGTTGGTGCTTTTGAGTCCCGGCACCATACACTGTGTTCACGCCGTAGGCTACGACGACAAGTCTAAGGTAAACAACATGTGGAGCGTCGAAGCTTCGCAATCAATTGATGTGGGCACTGCGTGGGAATACGATGCACAAAGCGAAAAGGATGGCGGCAGAAAAGGAAGCTGTGGATAATGCAACTTTCTCAAGCACTTACCCAACAACGAAAGCCGAGAGTTCGAACCCAACACCTTTGAAGAAGCAGAAAAGTGAAGTTGAAGCTAATGTTAGACAGCGTGCTCTGCCGACGCCGGAACACTGCCCGGCACACAACCAGTCCGCAGAAGAAGTCATTGACTTGGATTTGCTGGCACAAGCTCGGATCGGAAGTGATGTGACCAAAGTGCCCGGTGACGGATGGTGCTTCTTTCACGCCGTAAGTCGGCACTGCAGCAATTGGAAAACGTGGTCGACACCGCAAGCTGCAGAATTATACTTGCAGGCGTTGGAGTGGTTGCGCAGCCAGAAGTATGGTCCAAAGGCAGAAGTTAAGCTTGCATGTGTGCCCTTCGATGATCGAGAACTAGAATTGCACAAGCAGTATCTTATGCGTGCGCACAAATCCAACCTGAGAACAGCAGATCTCACGAAGTCGGAGATCGTGATTTTGAGCAAGCTAGTTGCTGTGCTACAGAAGCCGCGTACCGTGGACTCAATCCACCATGGGTCTTTCGTCGAACTGTGGGCGCTCGCAGAGACATTCGATTTTCACTGCCTGATTTGGAGTCATGACGCGGACCAAAACCTGTGGTTGCGGGACCAGGCAAACATTAGTGACCAGGAAGCCCATGCAAGACTACGAGAACATGCACAAGTGTTATAGAACTTCTGCACCGCAACATTGGCGTCACCGGCCATTATGACATAGCGGAAAGATCTGCGTCGCTGCGGCCACCGTTTCCTGACACCACCTGGACACTGGCGTGGAAACGTGCCGGAGCCGACGCCGTGTTGCAGCGGGCAGCGGACATTTTTCAGACGCCTCTGCCACCCTTGCCTGGTTCACTGCAAAGTTCCCCGCAAGAGCATCGCTCGCGCAGAGGAAGCACTGCGGAGCTCGATGGTGAGGTCGACAACACTGCCACAGGCAGCGTGCGCCAGGGATCTTCCAAACCAGCGCGACGTCGCCGGACAGGCACGCGCATCGCACAGCATTTGCAGCCAAGTTGTAGAGAGCATGGCTCATGCAAGCGTGGAATTTTCACGCGCTGTGACGGAGCAACCGAACAGGAAGAAAACGTCACAGCCACAGCCCAGGGAAACTGTTCAGCTATGCTGGAGAACGAACAATGCTCCAAGTCTGTGCAAGATACACCTGCCGCAGCCTCGCAGCCGGCGACAGCGGCCGCAGCCGACGATGCTCAGCAAACAGCAGAAACAATGTCCACCGTGCAGGGGGGGGGCAGACGACATTTGGCCACAGTCCAACGCAGTGGAAGAATCTGATTTCCACAATTCGATACCAAAAATCGCCCTAAAGGGGGCCTCCCAGTACGCCCCCAGAATCTCTAACGTCGCTGTCGGAACCCGTAAAACAAGTCTGTGAAGCAGCGTCGAGCACGCCCTTTCTTCCGCTTTCGGACCTTCAGCAACGCTTCAAGCCGCCTGCTGTGACGGAAACGCCTCGAAAGCCTCAAAGAACCCGTTCTCTCACCTTTCACGGGTCCTCTTTTCCTTCGCCACAGCTTTCCACAATCTAATTCGATACCAAAAATCGCCCTAAAGGGGGCCTCCCACTACTTGCCCCCAGAATCTCTAACGTCGCTTTCGGAACCCGTAAAACGTCTGTGAAGCAGCGTCGAGCGCGCCCTTTCTTCCGCTTTCGGACCTTCAGCGACGCTTCAAGCCGCCTGCTGTGACGGAAACGCCTCGGAAGCCTCGAAGAAGCCGTTCTCTCACCTCCCACGGGTCCTCTGGCTTAAGCCGTTCTCTCACCTCCCACGGGTCCTCTGGCTGGTAGACACCTGCTCCCAGTGATCTCCTTCGTCACAGCTTTCCACAATCTAATTCGATACCAAAAATCGCCCTAACAGGGGCCTCCCCAGAATATCTAACAGCCGTTCTCTCACCTTTCACGGGTCCTCTGGCTCGTTGACACCTGCTCCCGGAAAGCCGCCCGGAAACTCGAAAGCCTCAAAGAAGCCGTTCACCTCCCACGGGCTCTGGCTGGTAGACGATAAGCCGGGTCCTCTGGCTGGTTGACACCTGCTCCCAGTGATTTCCTCCGCCACAGCTTTCCACAATCTAATTCGATACCAAAAATCGCCCTAAAGAGGTCCCCCCCGTACGCCCTCAGAATCTCTAACGTCGCTTTCGGAACCCGTAAAACAAGTCTGTGAAGCTGCGTCGAGCACGCCCTGTCTTCCGCTTTCGGACCTTCACAGCAACGCTTCGATCCAGCCGCCTGCTGTGACGGAAACGCTTCGAAAGCCTCGAAGAAGCTGTTCTCTCACCTCCCACGGGTCCTCTGGCTGGTAGACAAGAAGCCGTTCTCTCACCTCCCACAGGTCCTCTGGTTGGCAGGTGAAGCAGCGTCGAGCGCGCCCTTACTTCCGCTTTCAGACCTTCCGCAACGCTTCAAGCATGCCCTCGGTTGCCTTCTCTGGCGCGCGCCCCCTTCAACCGGCGGGGTCGGCGGATATATGTACTGTACATAGTTTTCTGCTACACATCAAAAGGAAACGATAAGACACATAATAAAAGGACCAGATATATGACGGCCGTCGCTAGCAGCTTGTAAGAATCCTGGAATTTGGCTCAGTGTTTGCAGGATCAAGATGATGAAGGCGGGGCCCCGCAAAGGGCCGTTTGCTGCATTCTAATGCCACTGATCCATCAGCTCCGCGCCTTCAATTGAAGCAAGGTCTCCTACACACACATCGGTGTCCTTGTGATTTGACATCGTCAAATTTTTGTGGCAGCCGGCTCGAGGCTTCCTCCCGACCGAATCAGAGGTGGCTGGTCTTGCGCAGGAGGACACATCACCGACTGGTCAAGTGAGCCGTGTCTGAGGCATTTGGGGGTTGATCTATAGGATTGATCATGTGGATTAGTAATTGAATTTAAATCTATGACGCTGATATGACGACAATGTACCACACACGGTCAATTCATCGTTGAAAATGTGATTGAGCCGTAGCTATCCAGACAAAGCAAACGAATTGAAACGGTTTCTAAAGCTTTGAAACAGCTATGGATCAACCCTTGCGGCGATGACGTGACGCGAGCTGGCAGAGAAAGGGTTTCCCTCCCAGCAAGCAAGTCACCAGCTCGTCACGATGGGGTGGGGGCCACTTGAGTCTTGGTTGCATGGGAACCCATTGGATTCTTACTACTCAAAGTTGGAGGCCATCGCTAGTAGGTTGGAGGCCATCGCTACTAAGTTGTTGCCACATGTTGCCACTGCGTGCTGACTCTTGTATGGCCTCAGGGTTGTTGGCCCTCAATTGGGTCCATGTCCGTCGACTTGCATTGTTTTGCTTCATGGCAGCTACCAATCACCCAGTCCCGCAGCCCCTGCCTAATGTTTAGGCTCAGGGGGCCAAGTGGCTTTGACAGTCTTTCACATGCCTTCCCATGTTTCAAGAGGGCCTTATCATGGCTAGCTCCGACAAATTGAAGCCTTCAAACAGATCAACAGGAGAGGGTCATTCAAGTGAGATTTGCTTGTGTGACCCTGGGCCTGCTCACTCTGCCACTGGTGCATTCCTGCCATGGGAAGCTGTGCCATGGGAAGCTGCGCAGTGCGCTGCAGCCCAGCTGATTCCTGCTGCAGCGGCCGCTGCAGAGACCCTGATGAGAAAAGAAACTATCAGGAGCCAAGAAATTTATACGCGGAGGATGATTCATCCTGAGTTCCTTCCAAAAGTGTTTGCAGCATTTGTTCAGGATCCAGGCGACCTGGGAATCGAGCGAATAGATGTGCTGACTTTGCCGGTGATCTCATTTGGCAAGGCTATGACCTAAGAGAAATGTTCTTGGAGATTTTGAGATCAGTAATTTTCCCACTGTCAGGGTTATTGAACTGCAGTACACACACACACACTCTGGCAAACCAATGAGATGTTTGTCCTAAATTTGTCATGCCACCATGCCGCGTTTCATTCATTCACCTGCCAATTTTTCAGCTTCTTGCCGCCCCTCGCAAGTGACAAAACACCGCTCAGTGTGATGCTCCTTTGGTCTTCGAGTTGCAGGGCTTCTGGTTTCGAACCGATGGAAGCGCAGTGGCGCAGATCTCGGACTCCCTGGTGATTTGGGATGGGGGTGGTGCCAGCTTGCTGCAGCAGATGGGCCCCACAACGATCACCATGGAGGTTGGAAGCAGAGAGTGAAGGGAAACACGGAGATGAAATGGCAGGTAGCACCAGGATGAAGCTCCAAAGTATTTTGTATTTCTAGGATGCCTCACAGGATCATTCCTGGATTCTTTTGCGTTAAGATCCGATTATGATTAGAGTGTTCAAAGAATTGCCAATATATTAATTGATATGTTCCTGACATCTCGCTTTCCCACGTGTACTGTATATCAGTTTCAAAGTGTGCTGAAGCAGAATCTCCATAGCAAACATCTAAGTGTAGACCTTACTTTAACTCACCATGGATCACCATGGGTGGCTTTCACTGGGTCCCAATCGAGGTGGAACGCGAGGTCTATGTGGGAGAGGTGGCCCGTGAAGCTCAGCCTTCGATCCTTTGGAATGACGGGGAGCAGTGGCTAAAGAAGTGAGGCTGAAAAACTCGTCTGAGTGGCTTCACGATGTGTCGTGATGTGCGGTCCAGGTACCAAAGATGTACCAGATTTGTCAGATTTGGGCAATGGGTTGAAAGAAGAAGACCTTCTTGTAAATAAGAGTCGGCTTTTCCCTTGCTGTTGCCAAAGGCAATTTGGCATGTTGGGCTGAAATTGCTTGGAAAACAAGAGTCTTTGGGTCAAGAAATAAGTGTTCGAGAAAGGAGTGGGGTGGCCGTTTCTGCCGAAGTTTTTCCTTGATTCAACGCCTTTGGCTCTATATATATATATATATATATTTTTTTGCAATCATGTACGGAATGCCCAGAACATAATTATACTGTTGGCATACCAGCAAAGAGATGGACAACTTTGCTACATGATCATGAACCTAGAGCTCAGATTTGCAACATGAAGATTCGCTGCAGGGTCGGTCCAAGTTACTGTCCAGAGTCTAGACCAGCAGGCAAGCTAGTGCTGGCAGCTAGTGGACTCCTTTACAGCTTTGCATCAAGAGGATTCTTGATCGTGCGAGTCAGCGGAGCTGGTGTGCCTGTACGACAGGCTTTCACAAGCGGTGGCGCCTCAAGCTTTCTGACTAGGGTACTTTAGATTTTAGATCTTGCCTGAAAGAGACAGCGCTCACTTCAATGAATGTGAAGTGAACGTGTTTTATCTTTTTCGCAAAGTTCAGTGCAGGCAGTCATGTTCTCCGTTAGCTTCGCATGCTGATCAGGCAGGTTGAATCTTGAAGGAGCGTTGCGGACCCTCCGAATCAGACATCAGACAACTCGATGGCCATCGATGGCCCACGTCGTGCATCAGGGTCCTGGTGCTATTGGTGCACTGGGAGCTTTCATTTGCTGTTTGCATTGGACAACCTGGAGTGCTTGCTCCCTCCTCAGGCCTGGGGGAACATGTCCACGCAGGACTCTATGATAGACAAGTGGGTCGATGGTGGACCGGATTTATGAACATTTAAGATTTGCAGCATGCAGCTAGTGACACACTGCGTGGGCTGGTGGCACTGGGTTGGTTTGCCCATTGGTTGGGCGCAGGATCGATTTCAGGTCGGGGTTCGGAGCTTGCAGGCCTTTCATTGGGCCCGGCACGGGAAGTAGCGGCCAATGGCTCCGTGGTGCCCTTGAAATCAGTGGCACCACAGGACACGGGGGGGATCTATATAGGCAAGTCAGGGGAGTGATGAGTGCGGTGCACTTCCACTCTTGGGCAGCCATATCGGAGCGATTGCTAAAACGAGCACCAGTTTCGCATCTGGAAAAACTCTTTGCTTTGAAGTTCTGAGAGAGTCATTAATTGGCTTCTCTCAGCATGAAGAATCCAGACTTGGGCGAACGAGAGTCCTCAATTCAGTCCTCATTGACAAAGTGTAGCCTCCAACCTACTAGCGATGGCCTCCACCCCAATAGCGATGGCCTCCAACCTACTACTGTAGCGATGGCCTCCACCCTAATAGTGATGGCCTTCAACCTAAGAGCGATGGCATGGCCTCCAACCGAATAGTGATGGCCTTCAACCTTCTAGCGATGGCCTCCAACCTTAATGGCCTCCAACCTACTAGCGATGTCCGGCGATGGCCTCCAACCTCTTAGCGATGACCTCCAACCTGCTTGTATCAGCAATGGCCTCTGCCCTAGTAGCAATGGCCTCCAACCTATTAGTGATGGCCTCCAACCTATAGAAGCGATGGCCTCCAACCTACTAGCGATGGCCTCCAACCTAATAGCCATGGCCTCCACCCAAATAGCAATGGCCTGCAACCTAGTAGCTTTGGTCTCCAACCTACTGGCGATGGCCTCCAGCCGGGACTCCAACCTACCTGCGATGGCCTCCAACCTACTCGCTTTTTTTTTCTCATGGCAACGACGTAGACACCATGACCCACAGGGTTGAGTCCTTTGTGACCCGTAGTTTTCTACCATTCACCAGGCAGTTTGCACAATTTTCCCTAAGCCGCTTTGCCCTTCATCCTGTCCATCCATGGGCAATTGTTGAGTCGCATCAAGCCATTATATAAGCGAAAAAGCATGAAAAAGGACAAGGAGTACTTTCCAGATTAACTGATATAATTTTGTTCAGTTCTGGTATGCCCGCATGGTGGTTCGAGGACTTAACTCCAGAGTTATATAATCATGTTCATTTCTGCATGGTTGCTTGAGGAATTCACTCCAGAGTTATATGGTTAGACGGCCCCGTAACTAAAGGAGAAGGGTCGTTTAGTTCCAACCCTCGTAGCTCCGGCTCAAAAGGGTATGTGGGGACACTCCACCGGCTGCCGGTGTGGAGTGTGCCTCACATTGCAACGCGTTTGCCGGCGCATCCGTGACTACAGTGGCGAACCTGGTTACATCGATTTCGCGCGGATCGACTACGGGTGCTGGCAGGTGAAGTCTCGGACTTCATCGACTCGCGACAGCGAGACACCGGGCTGCGAGCGGCATCTCGTGGTCCGGGACTCCTCACCCTGGGAGGTGAAGGGGAGTCAGGAGGTGGTCCAGGTGGAGGAGAACGAGGCCCTGGACACCAAGATCAAATAGCTGCAGCTAAAGAGGAGCAGGTGGATTCATCGAGGAATTGTCCGCCTGAGGTCAAGAGTGAAGCAAGTGTGCGTGAGGAGACTGAGGAAAGAGGAGGAAGTCAGGCCAAGAGTGAAGCAACCAGCCATCCAAGCACTGCACCAAAGAAACTAGCAAAAGCCAAGGATACAGGAAGAGAGCCACTACCTCGACGGGATTCAAGGCGGAGAACAAAGGAGGAGCCAGCCAAGAGTGAAAGGGAGGAAGAAGACACAGGAACTCCTCACTCAGATCAGAAGAAGAAGAGAAGGAGGCGAACCAGGAGCCGATCCCGCCGAAGACGTCGAAGAAGCCGCAGTGAAGAGAAGGTTGAACAAGAGCATCAACCTGCAAACCCAGGAGGTCGATCGTCAGCTTCAAAACCGGAACCCCGACCTTCAAGGAAGCCGGACTCGTCCCCCCCGGCCAGGCTAAGGCCCAGATCTCCTTCACATCCTCCACCTGCAGGTCGTGGACGTGGACAGGGGTGGAACGCACCCCCACGTGGGTATTACAGGCAGGAAGAGTGGAAGCCTCAGGAGTGGAAGAACAAAGGAGTCAAGAAGACGGAGACTCAGCGCTACTTCAAGACCTTCCTGGCGCACAAGAGAGGACGGTGAGGTGGTTGAATGGCCCCTAAGCGGAGGCCAGCAGCGGCTGTGGAAAGAAGGCGAGATCGAGGTGTTCGAGCCAGACCAGCTGCAGTTGAACCTCCTGAGGATTTGGATTTCTCAAGGGGAGGTTTGATAGAGGGACATCGGTTGATGTGGGCGAGCTTCCGGTTGGCACTAAGGTCTTTGCGCAAGCCTTTTATTGGGACAGAGAGGTAGAGCTTGCAGGCGAGATTGTGGGCGTCTCCTTGGTGGCAGGTCAGCTTGAACTGAGGTTGCAAGCTGGAGGAACTTCCGACGAGGGTTTGTGTGGCTGTCGGGCCAGGAGGATCGATGTCTCAGGTGCCACCTTTGTGGTTTGGGGTGTTCGAACAGTCCAGTCGCCGACGACTACATCCACGTGAAGCGAGTCAGGAGGCTGGAGGTAGACCGCCCGGCTTGGAGCGAGAACCTGAAGGAAGCGGTCGAAAGCGAGGCGTTGAGGAGGCTGGCAGAGGAGTCGGGAAGGAGAGAAAAGGAGGCTCGCGGGAAAGGAGTCGGGGGAGGACACCCCAGCGTCATCGCGGAAGAAAAGAAGGACGAAGAGGTCAGCAGTTCGAGTACGAGTTCATCCAAGAAGAAAAAGAAAAGCAAGAAAAAGAAAAGGAAAAAGAAGTCCAAGCGTTTCAGAGTACAAGGAAAGAAAGACCTCAAGAAGATCTTCGAGTTCACAGGTTTAGACCCCAGCCTCAGAGTACGCCGACGAGTCATGAGGTTGGCGCGAAGAGCCATGAGGAACAGGAGCAGGGAAGACTCGGAAGGCTCCTCGTGCAGCAGCACGGAGGGGAGCAGCACAGAGGAGGCGGGACAGCATTTGTTCGAGGAGACCCACAAGATCAGAAAGGCCGCAACCAGAGGACCCGGGGCGTTGACAGCCTTCACGATCTCGAGCATGTCGAAGTCCCTGCTCACCCAACAAGGGTTGCCAATAGAGGAGACAGATGGAGCAGTGCCGTGCATAGCCCTTCAATACCACAAGCAGGTCCTGTCCCAGCGTCTGTCACCGCCTTTAGCGAGGGAGTCGCTGAACATTTGTGCGGCCACCGACGCACTCCTCGGAGGTCAAGTAGCACTGGGGTTGGATATCCTGGTACAGCGCCTCAAGAGCATAGAAGCGCTGGGAGGAGGTCAAAGTTGGGCCGCAGCACAGAAACTCGAGCTTGCTCCTCAGGAAGGTTCTCAACTGGCCGCTTTGGAGGAAAGCGAGACAGCCAACAAGGAGTTGCGCGAGGAGCTGAAGAACAGACAGGCTTCGCAGAAGACGTGGCAGAAGGGAGAGAAGGGAGGCTCGAAAGGAAAACACGAGGAGGCCAAGGGCAAGAGCAAGAGAGAAAAAGGAGGGAAGGAGAAAGGAAGGGGAAAGGGAGAAGGAGAAGTAGTTTCTACTCCCCTGATGTTGAGTGAACAAGAGATTGAGGAGGAGCTGGCGAGAATGGCTCAGGTGGCTTTTGCAAAAGAGAGGCTGGAACAAAAAGAGGCACACCATGACTTCACCATGCTGCAGAAACCGGATGGGAGTGAACAGAGCTATAATCACTCCTCGGAAGCCATTTTGGCGCGCACAGCGCCTGAAGGAGATGCCGCTCCGGAGGGCGAAACCACAACGTGTCCGCTCTCAGAGCGAAAAAAGAAGCTGGGTGCGGGAGGGTTCCGTTTCGCGGACGTCGTTGGGGGCTTGCTCAGGAACCTGTCCACTCCTCTTCGCAAGACCGTGACCTTGGGGGAGGTTTTTCCCCTCCCCTATGGCAGTTTCCTGGAAAGAACCCCTTTTGACGACTTGAATGTTGAGGTGAGAGAAGTGTTGAAAGGGATGATTGTGGGGCTCAACAGCATTTATGATTGCTCACCTTCCGCTACCCAGCGTGTTTCACCATTGCATGTCCGTATCCTTAGAGGTTTGAGTCAAGAGGCCCAGAGGTTTGTGGAGAAATCCGGAAAATTTGACTGTTTATCCTGGAAAGACTTTCTGCGTGTTCGAAGCGTGGACTACAAAGGGGATGAAGTCAAGACA